GTTCTGGATGCTATCAGCATCATTTTTTACTCGAAATTTTAGGAATTCACTGGGATTTTCATACCGTTGACGGTTTGAGGGAGTACTTTGATAGTTTTGGGGTGGTTGAACAGGTGGAAATACTCGGGAACCCTCGCGGTCTTGGTTTTGTTGTGTTTGAGGATAAAGCAGCTGCGGACCGATGTTTATCGCATGGTAGATTTCATGATATAAACGGGCGTAAATGTGAAGTAACAGTACGTTTTCCCGCTTTTTATTCCTGTTTTTTCTTTTGTATCAAAGTAATAGCTAGTTTGATCTGTTTGAGACATTATTTCAAAAGGAAACTGATTTTCCTCTAATAGTCTGTTTATCCCTAGCTAGGGATCATGGCTAATTCTTTATTGTCTTCTGTCATTTTCAAAGTTACAGAGTGGGGAACGAAATAGTAGTCCAGAAAAGAAAGAGGAGCCAGGTACGGACGCAGTTCACGAAAACGACTTTGTTAAGAACGGTGAAGCTGAGAAAATTAAATCTGGCGATGACGGACCGTCTTGCTCCGAGCCGATAAAGAAGGTTGAAGGTGAACCACCGTCACAGAAGAATCATGCTAACCCTGGGAAAAATTCGGAAGGTAAAAAGAACGGTTCGGAGTCTAAAAAGAATGAAAAGAAAGAAGCTACGGTCAAACAGGAGAAAAAGAAAGCGGGTAAAAAGTCAAGTAAAAATTAATTGTTTGTAACGTGCGTCTGAGCTGTGTACGTTTTATTTCCATCGCGAGTGGCTGAGGCGTATCAGCTCATTCCATTATGTCTCCGGTGCATAAATGCAGTAATCTTTTGAGAATTTTGTTCTCCGGTTTTATTTTATAAAGCGGAAGGGTATTTACATATTTTCAATTCAGATTAATAGTTGAGCGAGAGTATTTTCAAGCGGTCTTGTAAAGATTTTAGACAGGATTGATTTTTTTGTTTTTTCATTTAGCGTAATAAGCCGTCTGGAAGCTATAGAAGCTATTGCAGACAGAGACTTATTTTTATTGAGTTGCTGCTAGTTTTTTAACGAAGTTGAACTGGTTTCATTTTTTCAGGAATGAACAAGAGTTATTCGGGTATT